CGGCGCAGCGCAAGGCCGACGAGATGGACTACTCACAGGCACATGCTGCCAGCTCGACGCCTTACGCCCCCGCCGGCCAGCCGGCATCGCCGTACCCCTCCACAACATCGTCGTCATCCTACACTTCACCAGCGTCCACCGCGATGCACGTTAGCCAGGGCCAAGCAGCAGCACCAACTACGGCACCACCAGTGTCGCAGCCTCCGGCTCCGGAAGCTCTCTCGGGCGTCAACGACGCTACCGTTTCCTCTGCGGGACTCTCTACGTCGTCGGCCGCAATCTCACTGCTGCTTAATCCAGCCGACGACGAACCCATGGACGTGGACCCTTTCTTCAAGCCCTCCTTCGACGTACGTCCCCCTCTTACACCTCATTATTCGAGGAAGCTGAACTCACGCACCGCACGATTCTCACATGCGCAGAGCGGGGAGAACCGAGACCGTGGATAAACGCCAGCATCTGACAGATGGTTTGTTGAAAGAAGGTCATTGGTGGTACACATAGACGAAGAAGAAAGCGTTACTGTTCAGCAAAGCTACGTTCGCGGTCGCCACGCGGTACCCTACCTCACGCCGCCCTGGATGGCCGCGCCCATGGCTGCGTGACAAACATGTTTGACACGCGAGTGAGGGGGACATGTACGCTGGGACGGTGATGACAGCTTTCCTGATGGGCTGGCCAGCGTAACTCGCAGCCGATGCCTTGAGCTTGGCGAAGGCGAGTACGACTTGTCACCTGCACGACACCACCAGGAGTGAGTATGGCGAAGCGCATAGACGCCTATAGGCGTCAAAGATCGTAGGCGAGGGTCTCACCGACTGCGACCCAGGCCTCAGTGTTGGTGCCCTTCACGATCTCGTAGGGCACGCGCTCTGGCCTTCACCACTTCTTCCGAAATCGAAGCGTCTGCTTGAAGTCAACCCGCTGACCCAACGGCACGGTACAGCTACGTTGGCGACCAGGCGTGGCTGGTGCTTTGCCAGCAGCACCACCACGCAGCTCTTGGTAGTGCCTACATCGATACCCAGCACCTGCTTGTGACGAAGAGGAGGACATCGCTTTCCCAATCTCCTGGTCCACGCCACCGAGGGAGCCTGCGTGTGGAGCGCATCACGATGTGTTGCTTGTGTTTGGCAGCGTCTTCACGGAACGAACAGCTTTTGTCCTGACCTATCCCAACCATTCTAAGACAGAAGAAGAGGCGGAGTGGCCAAGAGCCTCGCCGAGCGCTTCCAGCGAGAGCTCCCACCACATCACACCACTTAGAGGTGTAGGTGACGGTGACGGTGCTTGCGGCTGCGAATACTCCCGAGGAACCAGCAGCCGCGCGACAATATGTGGGTGGAGAAGCCCGGCCCGGCCCAGGTGCAACGCGGGCTGTCCTGTCTTGAGGGCTCCCTCAAAGAGGAGCTTGGCTCCGCATGAGCTACCCTCGATCGGGCACGGCCGCACCCGATACCGGTCACTCTCCAGCCCTGACATGTAAAAACACGCACGCACGCACGCACGCACAACTTTGGTTAGCACCAACGCTCATCATTGACTTCCTGATGATGGATAAGGGCTAGGGCCTTACCGAGCTTGGCGCAGACGACGTGCAGGGTGCCCAGCAGATCGGGCAGGGTCGGCTCACCGTCGGCCACAACGACAAAGCCCGACAGGCGGAGCTGTTCGGCTTGCTGCGCCTTCCGGCGGAGCACCCGTCGCTGCGTCTGTCGGGGAGACGAGGGGTCCGCTCGGGCCGTCCTGTCCTTCCGCTTGGTCTTGGCCTGGCGAACGAAGGCGCGCTCCACCACGAAGAGCTTGAGCGAGCCATCGACGCCTCCGGGCCTCATCGAAGAGAGCACGCGGGCCAACAGCGAATAGTGGCTGTTGCGCAGGATGAGCGCGTCATCGCCCGTGCCATCTTCGGCGATTATGACCGCCGCCTGCTTGACGCCCAACGTCGCCTCGCGCTCCTCCTCCGCGTAAAACTCTTCGCGGCCGAGCGACGCCGACGCGACCGATTCGACGTAGCCCGTGCCCT